CAATATTGATGGTGATGGTGGTTGTAATAGCTGGGTTTTAATTGTAGAAGCAGTATCACTAGCAACATTAATGGTAAGGGTGCTTGTTATGTAGGCTTTAGCGATGGCGATGGTGGTGAAAACGATTAAATGATCAAAATTAGTAGCAGTTTTGGAGGTTTGGTTTTAATTTGAAGCATGGTATTATTTTCAGAAAATATGATATAACGGTTATAAAAACAATGTAACATAATAATTATGTCGATGTTAGCAATAGAATTATTAAGAAAATTTAAAATGGCGGCGTTGATATCATTTTCATTACTTATCATACACATTTTATTATTTACAAAAATCACTAAATAACGTATAAGTGTAAAACATTGACATTAAGTATTATTAGGGCAAAAACCAGAGTTTGTATATATCACCATATTACTAAGCATGTCTTCCATAAAACCATGCAAAATTGTCCAGATGCAATATTCTTCAAATTGATTCATAATTAGCAGATATGTTGCTTATGGTGAAACAACTTCTCATGCAAAACACTTTTCAAAAATATTGAACCACTTGGATTTTATGCTACAAAATCTGAAAATAGATTATTACATAGAAAAATGACTCATTTTCAAGACAAATTAAGGTTTTTAGAACGGATTTTTTTCCTTACAGTTACTTAGTAATTGTTACTCATACATTAACTACTTAAAATGTCATCTTTTATATAGGAAAATATAATGAAACATTAATGGTATAAGCTTTTGTAGTCATCAATATGACACATATTCAAAAATTGCTGACTCAGCAAAATTTACCAACTTTCTACAGCTCAGAAACTCTAAGGTAGGTATTTTTTTCAATGAAACCAGTTCTTTTAGTAAAACTTGGTCATAAAACTAAAAAAATTACAAAATCCAGTGACGGCAAATAATCACAGGATGTGAAATCAATAATTCAAAAAGGGATATTTATGATATTTTGTTGTTTTCAGTTTTTTTTTACCTGAATATAGTACATTTTTTTAATCATTTAGATGAAAAGAAACCCTAAAAATATTTTAGAATGAATGCATATATCATATTTGAATAAATTTCATTTAAATTACATGAAAAAAATCAATATCAGTGATAAAATGCTGAATTTAACACTAGAGGTCCCTTGAGCCTGTTTTGTCCAACCTCCTTTAATTTCCTAGTGCCAAATTTAACTAATCTATATGTGCATGAATTTGATACATATTCATGTCTACACCTAGGTATGTCTGAATAGAAGATTGGTCATGATTTCCCCATCAGGTTAAAAACATTTTTTTTAACTATGGCACCATGTTTTTCATACATATTGACATTAAAAAACATCTAGCTTGTGTTTTATAATAAGTTCTGTCATACCTGTATTTACTTTGCCTGGAACAATATTTTCAAGCAGCATATAGTATTTTAGTGCAGTGTATTTGGAAGAGCGAATGTGATATTTTTTGTTTAATTTTATTATTATATCTGCCATAAGGCTCAATATATCTTTTTTAATTTGAATTGATATGGTGCACAAAGACAATACAAAACAAGATGACTGCATTGTGGATAAACTTCACAAATTTCATACCCTTCCCCATATTCAAAATGACAAGTCTATCTTCTTTAATGGGAAACCCAAAAAATCCCTAGGTCTGAAACTAAAAATATAATAGGATGTGCATTATGGCATTCTGAAATAAAGATTCTCTGGAAAATTTATGGAAATAACTGATAACACCTGATAAGCAGCTGGTTATAAAATAAATGCACATATTTAGAATCTGAGATCAGTATTGTTTACTTTGAGTATACAGGTTTTTCATATATAACATGTAGATAAGGGAAGTCAAACATTGATGAGAATGATATACTTTACTAAAGGCTTGGATCAGAATTATAAAGTCAGAATACATTTAAAAACAATAAATACAATATTTTAAGGTTGGAAAGATACAGCAACATTGAGCCAGGGTATGTGCTACAGCTTTCCAAACTTAATTGTCACAAAATTAAATTAACAATTTTCATTTTAGAGGCTTTTCTGTTTAATTCTACATTGCAATGTAAATCACCCCATGCTTGCCCCCACCCCCCTGTATATGATGTGTGTCTTGAGTGTGTCTACAACCATACCCCCCCCCCTATCACTTATGGAGGGGTTAATGGCCCTAAAATCGAACAATTGCTTGGAACTCGATTATGTACAACAAGAAAATTAATTTGACAGGTGAACAGACAAATGGTCAGCAAATGACCAATATTCCTTAGCTTTTCAGTTTATACTTACTGGGATAATTAAGTGATAAATGAAAGTAAACAGTAAAAAAACAATCTAATCAAAACTATAGATCTTGAATTTTGTTTGTGTGCTACAGCATCAAGATGCGGTAGCATAAAGAACAAAATTTAAGATCTAGTTTTAATTAGTTTGGTCAAAGACAGACAATATACAAATATGTTACCAATGTTTTAAAATATTTTAAGAAGATTTTTTTTTTTTTTAGTTAACTTACCAATATCATTCTCTAAGTTTGTGCTGATAGAAAGGCCGTCCTTGTTTTTACTTGAGCATGGTTTGCAAATTCCTGGAAAATGAAAATACTTTTGAAGAGCTTGAAGAGTTTAAGCCGAGAAATATAAGCTTCACTTTTGTTTCTTCTATTCAATTTCATTTTTTTATCAAATGTAAAAGCGGGCATTTTTTTCCTCACAAATTAGTAGCTAGAGCAGTTGTAAATGACAGCTAATCCCCTCGCCCGTAAATTATTTTACAGTGTTTTAGATCTGAACCTTAACGCAAAACTTAACCTAGGTCACTCATGAATAAAATGTAGGTCAGGCTGACCCCATTTTCATATGGACCTTTTTCTTTTTCAAAGACACATCCACTATGGAGGTTTATTATTTTCCAAGACTCCATTGGTCGAGGGGATGATAAGATTTTTTTTTGTTAACTAGCAAACAAAGTACGTAACATGTATGATGAAGCAGATTTTAACTTTACTTTTTATTTCAGGGGCCTATAGCTGTGTCTATAAAATTGTGAAAAATTGTGTATTTGAAAATTACATGAGATAATCATGTTTACACATTCCAGGAGTACATGTATCTATATCTATCAGAATCTGTATGGTTTCATTGTCGATATCAATACTGCTTTTTAGAAAGTGAGGAGCAATTTTTGGAAATTTGAAAAGGTTAACTTCATGAACGATGTCTTTTAAGAGAAAATTGACATAGTACGTGATCCAACTGGTGTTACTTGTCTAGTCCTCAGCCAATATTCCTTACAGAATGATGGTAATGTCCCCCGGTCTGCTTCGGCTTTACTGAACTCTGGGTGGTCAGGAGGGATGCATTTTACTTTGCTCCTTTTCCAGTAAACACCAAAAAATCTCTATGTGTCTGGTATATTTTTAAACTAAGGGACTGACGATCAACTGTGAAAATACCACTTCTATACAAAATAAGCAGGGACTCTGGACATTTAATGAATTTTAACTTTTGATCTTCAGCCTTCTCTAAACTCTGGTATGCTCTGAGATGTACTGTTGTGTCCTTACCACAGTCATCAATGTTATAGAGAACAGTGTTGTCTTGGTATCTATTTGATTTTTCACATAGTATATGAGAAAAGTTGGAGAAATCACATTTAGCCATGATCGTCTACAGTCTGACATTTCTTTTATTTGTTGTTGTCTGCACCACTGGATCAAAAGGATCAATAAAATACCAAATATGTCTGAAGAATCAAATTAATAACACATTAATTTTTTAAAGAACATAACCTTATTTTAAAGCCTGATATTTTTTTTATTATTTGAACTGTCAAAATGTCAAAATTGTAGCATTAAATCCTTATTTAGTTACAAATAAAGGTGAAATTTCAGTGCAAATGTATGCACATTTCATCCATAAATTGCTATATTGAATTAAATTTGCCATCACAATTTTGTTTTATATCATTTACTTTAATAACTTATCTTTTTTAAGCATCTAATTCCATTCATTTGTATTAACTACCTTAAGTGATTTTGCTAAAAGTAGTCGCATGATTTTTAAAAGTTTTAAAACACAAGTTTCCCTTTAAAAAAACAAACAAATTTACATTTATAAATGTTCTGCAAACAATCATCTTACTCTTCAATTATGTTTGAACAATTAGTCTTGAGTTTGACTTATTGTTCCTAGGTACTTTTATTATCATGTTTTTTCTCAATTTTTGAAAAGTTCGTATATCAACTGTTACTAAAAATAGATACATAATTTATGATTTTTTATTGATTATTTCTAACTCCGATATGTTATCATTACTGTTTGCGTTATATCAGAAACATCCATCTGGACGTTTATTACCATTTTGCATGGTTTTATGAAAGACATGTTCCTAAGTAGCTTACAATACTTTGTCATATATCAGTAGATACATATGTGTCATGTAAGCGTAAACATCATATTATATCTCTCCCTCTACCGTTGAAGAGGTTTCATGTTGAATTAGGACAACTTTGCAAATGTCTCGATTTCATTAAGCCATAATTTTCTGAAAGCTGTTACTGAAAGTCATGTTACTTCTAAAGTGAATCGTCATAAAATCTGGAACCCTTTTTAGAAGCTTCGCAGCTTCATCAGCTACATGTATAAAGAAATTAATTGTCACAATCGTCCCATGTTCATTCTTATATGTATGTCATAACACTGAGAGATAGACTATATATCATTTCATCATTCGTTCATTATCCTGCCGTGGTAACAAGTGATACATAACCAAAATATCATAGAAACGAGAAAGGTGTTTTAAAACAATTTTCTGATAAACAGCAAACCAATGGAGTATTTATCGTTACACCAATTAATATGAACAGAAAAGTATACCTGGTTCTATATAAACATAAGCAGTGACAACGAACTCTTATTCGAGAAAATTGTGTTAAATGCATATTTCTTGATAGGATAGGCCTATTGATTGAATTGTAAAAGTCAATATTTTTGTTTTTGCAGAATGCGGGTATTGATCAGTGTGTTGTTTGCGTCTACGGTATGGGGATACCGACATCTGCAGGACGAGATTCCTAATGGAGGAGGGGTGCCACACCCGTGTAAGACTAACTACATATGGGGAGGCGTCGGGCATCTGGACCCCCACGGAGGAGGTGATATAAATCCGTTTGGTTTGGACTTTAAGAACGCTGGAATGGTACGTTAATGTAAATGAATTGTAAATGCATTTAAAAACACACACATTCCGTTCATTTTTGAAAAGAATAACTCTAATGCCAATGAATCTTAATATCGAACGCAGACAGTGTTTTACCATAAATTATTTCAGCTAAAACTGCTGAAGGTTTGTTGAAACAGTTTAAACACCACGCGTTACGTATTAACAGAAGTGGACAAAATTCCTGTGTGAGATGGACTCTGACAAAGATGGGAAAACTAATGGGGAGGAACTCGGAGACCCGGATTGTGTATGGACCAAAGGAAATATCCCAACAGCCACCATTGACATCAGTCACCCAGGTCTGTTATACACAGTACTTCTTTATTGATTTCATCATATTATACACATGAATAGTCTCAAATTAATATAATGCCAATTCATCTTTCCGTTGCCAATTTGATAGTTTGGCATCGAAATGAAAATTCACTATATTTGCAGCTGATCGCAACTTTAGGTCTAATTGACACGCGTGATTTACGTGTTGTTTTATTGGTAGGTGTTTGCACCCCACACTCAGCTCCCGCCTGCCAAGCAGTCAACAGCTGGATCGACTGTCGGATCGGAGATCTGCAATGTGATGCGCTTAGCGAAGTTGGTTAGTACCACAACTTGATTTCCATTATATTTATGTTCAGCCAAACACAATATTTCGACCGTAACATTGTGATGAAAGGTGGGGGTCAACATTTGGCCCCCACTTTGATTTCTTGTATTCTTTTGCCATATGTAGATACATAAAAATGATCAATAACTGCATAAATGATTATTCATAATTGCTACTGATAACCGAAGTGGACCTCCTTGCATAACATTATGTTTGGTGACGGTGGTTACCTAACAAAATGACAGATAAATGTCACAGGCGAATGTTATTTTGAAAATGAATTATGAAAGTGTACAGTTTATAATAATTCTGTTATTTTGATACTAAATATGACACATTGGTATACTTGAAGTAAGCGTAGTGATACTTTTAAAAAGAAAAACATGCAAAAGTTTCACAAAATTTAAGATTTAACCAACATTGTCAACTTGCCTATATATAATTACAATGGTAGTCTATGTTTTAAACTTCTTAAAAACTACCCATATATGTATTCTGTCTACAGAATCATTTTTATATAATATCAAAACCGGTAAAGTTCATTTTTAGCATGCCAAACATGATCAATGCCCAATTTCACATAATCTTGACGATTTGATTATCAATGTTTCTTATGGTAAATACCGATACATTTTCTGTTTTTGTATCATACCAAACCACTTTATTATTTTACGCATGTTTTAAATTTATGCGCAGCAGTAATAACTCATGAATATGTATTCTATCAAAGTAATCTTTCCTCTGGAGAACTACTTAAGGTTATGATTGTGTTATAGACAATGATATGCAATTGTATAAAAACAATAAAAAAGACTTAATATTAAAACTGTTATGCACTTTATCATACTTCCCGCAAAGAAGTTAGGGAGGGGGATATTGGAATCAGCTTGTCCGTCCCCTTGACCGTTCATAGAAAACGTTTGTCCGGACAACTCCTTCTAAAGTAGTGGACCAATTTCAACGAAAGTTTCCATATATGATAACTAGCACCTGCAGTTGTGCATCCAGGCATTATATTTTCATTCTGGCCGTTTTCTTACATAGTGATGGCCCTTTGTTAAAAAATCCTTGTCCGGATATTTCCTCCAAAACTAAGGGGTGAATTTCAACGAAAGTTTTCAGATATGGTAACTACCACCTGATGGTGTGCATCCGGGTATTATTGTGTTCAATCTGACCCTATTTAAGAGTAATTGCCCTTTGTTGAAAAATACTTGTCCAATCAACTCCTCCAAAACTATGGTGCCAATTTCAATGACTGTTTACAGATATGGTAATTACTCCCTGATGTCGTGCGTCAGGGTACGTGCATCAGGGGAGTACTTTGTTCATTTAGACCTTTTTTAAGGAGTTATGACCCTTTGTTAAAAATCTTTGACTTGACAACTCTTCCTTTACTACTAGGACGATTCAGCAAAACTGGTTCATCTGGGCTACAAATGTAACACGATTTGGTATGGAAGTATGTTTTGGCATAGAGGGGGAATACAGGAAGTATGTCAGTGACATATATACTTAAATAATTACTGGTGGAAGACTATGGATTGCTTTGCAATGCTTTGCCTTAGTTAGACTTAAACTTACAGTTCTGGCTTATATATGAGCTGGGCTATTAGTTAGTCCTTGGCTTACAGTTCTAGTTATTATTCTTTCTTTGTTTTTGCTTATTGCCATTCATTAAACAAAGTATGAAGGAATATTTCTTGATTGATATCGTTAACTTCTAACAAATAAAGCAAGGAAAGATATCCTTGTCCGACTCCCCATACAAAAATATGTTTAGTACATTTGGTTTTTGTGACCTTGAACGAAGCTCAAGGTCATCACAGTTTACAAAACTTAAATCCATTCACATGAACAACCTACTTGCCCAATATCAAGATCCAATGACCTTTGGTCATGAAGAAACACAAATTAAAGAAAAAGTGGAAAGAAAGCTCTGTCTTTCTTTTTTGGAATCAAAAGTGTTAAATTTACCAGTTGTCATGTTTTTGGAAATTCCTGATGTTGAAAGATATTATTGGTAGTCAACTTTTAATCAAGCATGAAAAATAGACTACTTTTACAACTGTTTAAATTAATGTGTCAAAAATGGAGATTTTCTCATTAATAATAAAATTTCACATATTTTCTGCTTTAATCTTCAATAAAAAGAACAATTCTTTCTTGAAATAATATAATATTCGGTATCAAAATAACAGTATGAATATGTTGCACACGATGATGATGTAATTTGATAGTAATTTTGTCATTTAAATGCTCTAGGAGAATTGTATTACCACACTTTTAACACCCACACAGTTGTAAGTCAATGAGGTCCCATTTTTTCATAACATGAATTCTGAAACTAACTGTGCCTGATTTAAGCTTCCTATACCCATACCTTTACCCATACCTTTTTGGATTTATCTTGTTTTGAAATTCCAAGTGGGGCCGATGCTAATGTTAAATCTCCATAGACGTTGACCCTACCTTTTATGAAAGACATGATAAATTATTCTCTCATTACTATTTACAGACATCTTTTTGTATGAGCGCGTACAAATTGCGACAGTTTAACTTTTAATGTTTCGTTGTAAATTTGATTCTCCTAAAGCAAATGTTCACCTCATGAACAATAAGGATGAATGTACATTTTAGGAATGAGGAACATCACGTTGAGATTTCCTGAGACCACCGTGCCCTCTGACAAGACAAACTACTTGTGTATGATTTTTGACCTACCGACAGACGGCGACTACCACTTTGTAGCCATGGAACCATACATCGACAATGTGAATGTTATGCATCACATGCTTCTATATGGCTGTGAAAATCCAGGTAAGACAAAGCAACAAGAGATTACCGAAGCGTCAACAAAACCATAATCCAAACTCAAAATCGATAAAACTAGGTAAAATGTGAACGAATGACATTTTCCATGGAGACCCTTGAAAACGTATAAGACCAGGTGCTCCGGAAGGGTAAACGTCATTTGCTTCATCGAAGATGCCCTCATGTAAATCTAGGTAAAATCCAAGGAATGAAATTCCTCACATCGAGAACCCAGGTGGTGGCAACAAAACAAAAATACATACTAATGAGCATAATAAAACAAATCGACCTTGATATGACAAAAAAATAGCATTCTTCCCTATATCCCTTCGACATCATAATGGCGACTATTGGCGACCATGGCAAGCTCTTGAATACCGAATACAATGAGACATGTCGGTTGGGAATGCAAGAAAGGTAAAGTTCACAATTGGAATGTCGAAATCGTCACGCTTATCGTACTGGTTAGTAGTCAGAGTCCGTCTAAGAAATAATAATAATAAAAAAATGCAATATCGCTATTTGTTATAGCATTGATTTAATCAGCATCATTTTATCCATATTTTTACTTACTTCTCCCTTCGTTCATACATCGATGACACCATTCTGTTTGTCTGTGACGCATGTGGCAGTTATACCAATAGGTCTACTACTCTATGCAGTGTATTGCTTTAATAAAATGACCTCAATGACACATCAAATTTACAATTTTTGGTTACAACAAAATATCTAGTTTGTATCAGTATTTTATGTGAATCGTGACTGAAAAGCATCCACATGGCCAAGGCCAACCTCTCGGGCAGATAGTCCACCAGCACAGTAAGGCCAGCCTCAGGGACTGATAGTCTACCAGCACAGTAAAGCCAACCTCACGGGCAGATAGTCCACCAGCACAGTAAGGCCAACCTTAGGGACTGATAGTCTACCAGCACAGTAAGGCCAACATCTCGGGCAGATAGTCCACCAGCACAGTAAGGCCAACCTTAGGGACTGATAGTCTACCAGCACCGTACGGCCACCCTCAGGGACTGATAGTCTACCAGCACAGTAAGGCCAACCCCAGGGACTGATAGTCCACCAGCACAGTAAGGTCAACCTCAGGGACTGATAGTCTACCAGCACAGTAAGGCCAACATCTCGGGCAGATAGTCCACCAGCACAGGAAGGCCAACCTAAGGGACTGATAGTGTACCAGCACAGTAAGGCCAACCTCAGGTACTGATAGTCTACCAGCACAGTAAGGCCAACATCTGGGGCAGATAGTCCACCAGCACAGTAAGGCCAGCCTCAGGGACTGATAGTCTACCAGCACAGTAAGGCCAACCCCAGGGACTGATAGTCCACCAGCACAGTAAGGCCAACCTCAGGTACTGATAGTCTACCGGCACAGTAAGGCTTACCTCAGGCAGATAGTCCACCGGCACAGTAAGGCCAACCTCAGGGACTGATAGTCTACCGGCACAGTAAGGCCAACCTCTCGGGCAGATAGTCCCCCAGCACAGTAAGGCCAACCTTAGGGACTGATAGTCTACCAGCACCGTACGGCCACCCTCAGGGACTGATAGTCTACCAGCACAGGAAGGCCAACCCCAGGTACTGATAGTCCACCAGCACAGTAAGGCCAACCTCAGGGACTGATAGTCTACCAGCACAGTAAGGCCAACCTCAGAGACTGATAGTCTACCAGCACAGTAAAGCCAACCTCTCGGGCAGATAGTCCAACAGCACAGTAAGGCCAACCTAAGGGACTGATAGTCTACCAGCACAGTAAGGCCAACCTCAGGTACTGATAGTCTACCAGCACAGTAAGGCCAACCTCAGGCAGATAGTCCACCGGCACAGTAAGGCCAACCTCAGGGACTGATAGTCCACCAGCACAGTAAGGCCAACCTCAGGTACTGATAGTCTACCGGCACAGTAAGGCTTACCTCAGGCAGATAGTCCACCGGCACAGTAAGGCCAACATCAGGGACTGATAGTCCACCAGCACAGTAAGGCCAACCTCAGGGACAGATAGTTCACCAGCAGAGTAAGGCCAACCTCAGGGACAGATAGTTCACCAGCAGAGTAAGGCCAACCTCAGGGACAGATAGTTCACCAGCAGAGTAAGGACAACCTCAGGGACTGATAGTCCTCCAGCACAGTAAGACCAACCTCAGGGACTGATAGTTCACCAGCAGAGTAAGGGCAACCTCAGGGACTGATAGTCTACCAGCAGAGTAAGGCCAACCTCAGGGACAGATAGTTCACCAGCAGAGTAAGGGCAACCTCAGGGACTGATAGTCTACCAGCAGAGTAAGGCCAACCTCAGGGACTGATAGTCCACCAGCACAGTAAGGCCAACTTCAGGGACTGATAGTCTACCAGCAGAGACGGAACTAATCGTCTTTTCCCCAAAGTGTCAGCAAATAATTGCTCTCCAGCGCAAGGTTGGTGCCAGAACTATTGAGACTGTTCCAGCTGTTGAAAACCTAGGGGTATAATTTGACAGTTCTCTGAACATGGAGAAACAAGTGAACGCTATTGCCAAATCCTGTTACTACCAGATCAGGAACATCGGCTGTATTCGGCAGTTTCTAACTGCAGATACATGCAAGATTTTGGTGCATTCACTTGTTACCTCTTGGTTGGGTTATGGTAACGCCCTGCTCTGTGGTATATCTGACAAACTAACTAGTCGTCTGCAGAGGGTCTAGAACACTGCAGCACGGCTAGTTACTCGTACTCGAAAGAGAGAGCACATCACACCTGCGCTTTATTCGTTGCACTGGTTACCTGTACGATACAGGTCGCAGTACAAAATTCTGGTATACACATACAAGGCACTGAATGGAACAGCTCCTCAGTACCTGGAGGAGCTTGTTACCCTGTATCAACCGTCAAGATCACTGCGGTCGGAGTCAGAATCTTTGTTGTGTGTCCCAAAATATCTCGTACTGTGACCTACGGAAACAGATGCTTTGGTAGGGTTTCGGCTACGTTGTGGAATAGCTTACCATCTGCTATTAGGAAGTCAAATACCCTGGCCAAGTTCAATAGGGACATAAAAACTCACCTCTTCACGTCTGCATTTTAGAATATTTGCAAAGACGTCATGTAAATACCACCCTTTTATTTGTTCAATTATGTGCACATTGCTTGTTAAGTGTATGAAAGTGATTGCAAGCCTTTGTTGTTTGTTTTCACAATTATAACCATTACTATTATCCATATGTTGTAAAGCGCCTTAGAGTAATTTTACAAATTATATAGGGCGCCATATAAATGTTGTATATTATTATTATTATTATTATTATCCTCGGGGACTGATAGTCCACTAGCAGAGCACGATCAACCTCTAGGGCTGATAGTCCACCAGCAGAGTCAGCTACCTTTTGGTTTTAAAAGTATATAATTTAAAAACATTTATTTTGAAATTTGGCGCATTATATTTCAGACGCGGCTACGCAGGACATGACCAAACCTAGTTCATGTGGTATGTCCATTACGACCCAGTGTACGAATCTCCTCGCCGGCTGGGGTATCGGCTCCAGTGGTTCTTGTTATGACAAGGAGGCGGCAGTGAGAATAGGGCAAAATGGGATCAGACAAGTCGTATTGCAGGTATAGATACATTTTTACATACACAGCAAATTCAAATAAATCACTTCAAGATGTTCTTTCTTTTCTACGTGTTCAATAAAAAGCTGCAGTCCATTCGACCAACCAAGCGAAGGGACATCTCAGAAATATCCCAAATACACATTGTCTATGTGTTAACAAATTTAATATTATTAGGCATATGTGTTAATTCCCAGTTATAAAGCTCTGGTGTAATATACATGTATTTGGATATTAAAATAGCATGCACGGCTGTTTCAACATAGCAAAGGGTTGTTGGTAAATAATTGCTTTCACCTCCCACATTAATTAAAGGAATTTCTGTTTCCTTTCATTTGCGGTTAACGATAATCACATAGATATATAAATATACATTATAATTTGTGTAAGTTAAGTTATCTCAAAGCGTCCAAAAATCGACAGCAATCTATAACTGCCATTAAAAGGAAATTTACATTCCAATTTATTATGATAGCTTTATTGGGATAATTTAGAACAACTGAAAGTAACTCCCTCCAAAAAGGTAACCTTGGATTATCATTCTAGGAAATTATTGAGTAAAATGCATTTCAAAAACAATTAAAGTAATATGTATGACTGTACTGTATCACGTAGAATATCAAACCGAAGGTGTAACTGTAAAGGCGGTCGTTACAGGGTCCCGAGGTAACATCGATGATGCACAATCGGAAGACGCGAGTTCAATGTGCCGTATACCCCGAAATACCAAATATGATCAAAAGTCGACACCTAAACAGAATATAGTTTCTGGTTGCCATCTAATTCATTAACAGACTGTTATCATATTCCTACGTATCAAATTTGAGTGAAATCTACTGAAAAATTTCGATCAGACATAATAATGATTTGAAAAATAAAGAGAAGAATTACCTGTATAGAAAATCTGTTTGTCTATGTAAGAAAGCCAAACTGAACCACATGTCAATTTCGTAATTTTAGGTTTAATGTAACTGAGGTCAAAAAAGGTAAACGTGTTCTGAAACATGTATATAAATATCGGCCAATGGGCAAGGTCATAGTGTTCTGAAACATGGATGTAAATAACAGCCAATGGACAAGGTCAAAGTGTTCTGAAAAAGGGATTTAAATAACAGCCAACGGGCAAGGTAAAAGTTTTCTGAAACAGGTATATAAATAACAAGCAATGGGCAAGGTTAATGTGTTCTGAAACATGAATATAAATAACAGCCAATGGGCACGGTAAAAGTGTCCTGAAACAGCTATAAAAATAACAGCCAATGGACAAGGTCAAAGTGTTCTGAAAAAGGGATTTAAATAACAGCCAGTGGGCAAGGTAAAAGCGTTCTGAAACAGGCATATAAATAACAGCCCATGGGCAAGGTCAAATTGGTCTGAAACAGGTATTTAAAAAACAGCCAATGGGCACGGTAAAAGTGTCCTGAAACAGCTAGATAAATAACAGCCAACGGGCAAGGTCAAAGTGTTCTGTAACATGTATATAAATAACAAGCAATGGGCAAGGTTAACGTGTTCTGAAACATGGATATAAATAACAGCTAGTGGGCAAGGTCAAAGGGTTCTGAAACAGGCATATAAATAACAGCCAAAGGGCAAGGTCAAAGTGTTCTGAAACAGGTATATAAATAACAAGCAATGGGCAAGGTTAACGTGTTCTGAAACATGGATGTAAATAACAGCCAATGGACAAGGTCAAAGTGTTCTGTAACATGTATATAAATATCGGCCAATGGGCAAGGTTAATGTGTTCTGAAACATGTATGTAAATAACAGCCAATGGACAAGGTCAAAGTGTTCTGAAAAAGGGATTTAAATAACAGCCAATGGGCACGGTAAAAGTGTCCTGAAACAGCTATATAAATACCAGCCAATGCGCAAGCTCAAAGTGTTCTGAAAAAGGGATTTAAATAACAGCCAATGGGCAGGGTAAAAATATTCTGAAACCTGTATATAAATAACAGCAAATGGGCAAGGTCAAATTGGTCTGAAACAGGTATTTAAAAAACAGCCAATGGGCAGGGTAAAAATATTCTGAAACCTGTATATAAATAACAAGCAATGGGCAAGGTTAACGTGTTCTGAAACATGTATGTAAATAACAGCCAATGGACAAGGTCAAAGTGTTCTGAAATATGTATATAAATAACAAGCAATGGGCAAGGTTAATGTGTTCTGAAACATGGATGTAAATAACAGCCAATGGACAAGGTCAAAGTGTTCTGTAACATGTATATAAATAACGGCCAATGGGCAAGGTAAAAGTGTCCTGAAACAGCTAGATAAATAACAGCCAATGGGCAAGGTCAAAGTGTTCTGAAACAGGTATTTAAATAACAGCCAATGGGCAAGGTAAAAGTGTCCTGAAACAGCTATATAAATAACAGCCAATGGGCAAGGTCAAAGTG